CGAGTATTTGCGTAGTTTTTTGTTGTTGAGTTGTTGATTTTTTTTTTGTGTGTCATTTTTAATTTGCAAAGTAATAATGCACATAAATGCCAATTGCAACAATGAAAGGTGATGTTGGTGGTGGGTGGGCTGGAAGAAGGATAGTGGGGAAGCCACCTAGTGACGGTATATAAATGTCTGCACAACGTTTGGCCAGTGTCAATGTTTGTTTTATTATATTTTGTTTGCTTATTTTGCTTTGTCGTTATTTGTTGACTTTGCCATTTCTTCTAGTTTTTTCTTGCGCCATTTCCATCGACATAATTGGTTAAGAAAGCTATTAACACTGCCATTTTTCCTGCCAGGTAGGAGTACGCTTAGACGCTTTAATGAGTGAAATTAGTTAATTGGCATTTGTATAAACTTATGGAGAATTTTTAAGATTGCGATTGGAAAAAAAGTTGCCACCTGTTTGAAAATTTTAATTTAATTTAATTGATAACATAAATTGAATATTGCAATATGGGTATCAAACTGAAGAGGTTTGGGAAAGTTTACTGCCGAAAATATTTTTGAGGAAGGTTGCCACGTGTTTGAAAAATTTTATTCGATTACATTGATAAACAAAAATAATCTTAAGGCGTAGTGAAGCACGCTGGGTATTTGCTAGTTCTAAATAAAATCTCTAAACTTTGTGCAAAACTCATGAAAATTTAATAAATGTGCATATTAATTTGAAACTTTCTAATATGATTTTTATTTTGAAAAATTTTAAGTACTTATGCAATTTTATACCCCATTTAATTTTAGTATAACAAAGTGCAAGTTTGAAGTGGTTGATTTCTGACAATTTCTTTACGCAGTTTCTTCCGTAAAAAGTAGTTTCGATATTTTTATTATTTTATTTTTTTTTTGTATGGAAGAGAATAATAATACAGTCCAACACGGTTTTTAGCAACTTCAAAATTGTATTAAAATTGAATGAGCTACAAGACTATATGCATAAATAGGAAATTTCAAAGAAAAAAAAAACGAATAGAAAGTTGAAAATCAGTAGGCAAATTTATAGACTTTTCCTGAGTTTTGCACAAAGTTTCGTGATTTTATTTGTATGTTTTTTTTTGTTGTAGTATAAATTATATTTTTATAGAAAATTTTCGAAAAAAAATTTGAATAAAAACTTAGCAACCATTATGAAAAAAAACTAGAAAATTAAACGTTAACGATCTATTATTGGCTTTGTGTTACAATTTCTTAAGAGAGATACTTTTATTGATTGAATCAAATAAAGTGTTGATGTATTATTTTCATTTTATTAAATATATTTTATAAAATAAAACCCTTTGTTTAAAATAATGTATTTATGTATTTTATTGTATTTTTTTTTTTAATATTGCAGAACTTATTGTTGCATGCAAACAGTGACAACGAAAACGCTCGACAATTATTTATTTCCATAATTTATTATACTAACTACTGACACAAATTTTTAAATTTTTATAAAAAACTTTTGAATTTTTATACATTTTTGTAGAAAGTTAGAATTGCCCGGTTTTTGTTCTAAGTAGTGTAAAATATATTTTGTAAAAAAAAAAATCAAAATAACAAAAAAAAATGAATTGGTCAAACCTCATATTATGTGGCCACCACTCCTTAGAAGGCACTTCAAAACCATCATACTTCAATCTGGTGTATACATATATGTATCATACTACTCATTCGAGCTAGCCACTGGCTGAACCATTCTAGAATAATGCACTTAATTAAAACAGATAGAAGACTTTGAACAGACGATGCCACACTTGGGTTTTCAAACGAAGTTACCTGTCCTCAACGGAAAAAGACACACGTCAAAATAATCCACAACTTATAAACTTTAGTTTTCTACTAAGTAAATACGTATTTCGATATCTACTTTTTCTCAATTGTCTATACCATCGTTAATATTGTATAATGGGCTAAAAAACGGTTTTTATTACATTTTTGTTGTTGGTATTTCCGACAGGGTAGGAGTGTGATGTAATGTGGAACGATTTTCCGTCATCCCTTGTCAAATTTGGTTTGGAGACTAACCGGTTTCGGCGTTGTGCCATCTTCAGTGTCATTTTTCGTTTCGTTCGTTTTTATTACACTTAAGTCCGCCAAATGACAGTTGCTTAACATTTTAGAATCATTTTTGGAGAAAAACTGAATATTTTTTCTCTTTCTTAACTAGGAGGATGTTATTTGATACCGAAAGTGTGCCTGCAGCATCAGCGGCCAGTGCCTTTGCTTCCGGTAGATAGATACCAGAAACAAAGACAATAAGGAAGGTAAACAACAAACTCATCGTTCAAATATGTAAAACATCCGGGAGCGCCACTGCACCGATACCTATGCAGCGCCAGGATGTTTTCAAGCCCTCACTAATGATAACGCACAAAGGCAACGGAATGAACATTTCTTTTTTGTTTCGAAGATATTTAAGTGCATAAATATTTTTACGATCTAATAAACTCACCTGTCGTATCCATGTAAACAATTAATATGCTGAAGACGATCGCGAACGATAGAATGCAAAGCACAACTGGCAAAAGTTGACGATATCGTGACGGGCCGAGTAGTCGAGGATCAAATTTCTGTGACTTTTTACATCCGCTTGATGATGATGACGACGACGGCGACGCTGCAGCCGCCGCCGTCTTAGATGTGGACTTAAGCGACGTAGATGAAGCCACTGTATGATGATGATGATGGTTGTGAAGATGCTGTGGCGTCTGCTGCTGATGATTGTGGTGGTGATGAAGATGATTGCAACTTTTATCGCTGTCGCTGTTGGCGCTACCGCCGCCACAGCAAACACCCGCTGTTAGCGACTTTTGACAGCAATTGCTGCCGTTGTAGTTATTTTGGTTTTGTTGCTGAAAATGTGGCGCAAGTCTTGTCGGCGTTGAAAGTGGCGACGATACGGTGCTGGCCGAGGGTGAGCTTAAAGCACTGCTTAAGCCACTGACACATCCATCGCTGATGGCGTGTATGGGTGAGGCACGCGGGTCGCTGGTGTAGTAATCAATGCTGATGATGCTGTTGTGAGGCAGCCGGCTACTACAACTAGCTGCTGTTCGACTAAAGCGATGCTGCAAGTAATCCGGCTCATCCACGGAAGTGGCGTCTTGTTGCTCTGGCTGTTGTTGTGATGAGGCAGCAACGCCTGCAGCTGACCACCGCAACGTCGACGACGACGACGACGACGTACAGTCTACACAGTCTTTGGTGTTTCTTGATCGACTATTTGCATTTCGTATGTAAACATCATCCTCATCGTCACAATTGAGATCGATATCATCGATATACGCTAACACCATCCGATCTTCCATATCGACACTATCGGCGTTATAGGCGAATTTGTTGTCCAGCACATCCACATTTGGTGTGTCATGCGTTTTGGGCATACAAATTCGCATTGGGGATGAACGTGAGTACGCGTCCTGCTCCGCTGCGCTGGCGGCGCCGGCGCCACTTGAATTTGTCTTATCTACTGTGGCATTGGAAATTAAAGTTGTAGACTTACTCGGTGTACTATGCCCGCTGTCTAGCCCCGCACCGACAGAGTGATGCCGCCTATGATGCGCGTGTGATTTGCTTGAGTTCTGTCGCGCTGCAAGCTCGGCTCGTTGCAATTGTTCGACCGCCAAGTCAGGATGCGCGGAGAACTTCGTCGACATAGCTTTTTTTAGTTTTGGGATTTTTTGGGATTTTAGTAAGGTTTTTTTTTTGTTTCACAGGTTTAAGGTAAGAGTAGTTTTGTAGTGGATATTAAAGTTTTCTACTTGAATTTACCAAAAGTAAAGTTTTTCGTTTACAGCGACTGATGTAGCACATTTTGTACTGTTTTGCACATTAATTTGCTTTCGAAAGTTTCAATCTGCAAAGAAAAGATATAAAAATTCAAATTTTAGTAAAAAATGGAAGCAAATCACACAAATGTATAAAAATACGTATTTAAAATTTTTACTAAAAACTTGTTAGCAATTAAAAATTAACCTATTTCAGAATTGACTTACTTAATAACTCTAACTCTTCAGACCTAGTTTGTACAAATATTGTTAGTAGATATGTATGTACTAATATTTTAGAACTAGTATTTTTAGGACTAATATTTTTAGTAATAATATCGTTAGCACAAATTTTTAGTACAAATGTTTTTAGTAATAATATTTGTACTATTATTATTATTAGTATCGTAGTTTTAGTACTAATTTTTTGTACTAATATTATAGTGCATACTAATATATTTAGTTTAGTACTAATATTTTTAGTATACATTTTTTTAGTACTAACATGTGTACTACTATTTTTAGTGATGCTTTTTCAGTACTGGTATTTTTAGTTAGTATGTACTACTGTTTTTATTACTAATATTTTTAGCATAGCTATTTTTAGTACTGACATTTGTAGTACAAATGTTTGTGCCACTAATATTTTTAGAAATATTTTCAGGACTAATATTAAAGATACAAATATTTTTAGTACTAAATTTTTTAGAAGTAGTAACAAATTAAGTAATACTATTTTTAGTACTAATACTTTTAGTAGTAATATGTTCTATACTATTATTTTTAGTAATAATTTTTATGAGCGTTTTTATTTATAATCAGAACTATTTTGTCGGAAACATGTATAGTACTTTTTAAAGCTATGTTTCAAGTACTAAAAGATGATCCTGAGAACCAGATTTAGCAATCAATTTGTAGAACTTCAGTGTCATGGTATTTCATCAAAAAATTTTGTAAAAGGGTTTAAGGATGAGCGAATTTTTTATGGGTTTAAGGACAATACAAAATTTACTTTTAGGTAATATATGTTTCCTTTTAATTTTTAGTACTCAAACTTATCAACATTTGATGTACCAGTACACTGATCAAGAAAGGAATCACGGATGAACGAAAGAACTTGCCCCGTACTGAATTCTCAACCGCAATGCGTTAACAGTTCCAAGGTAGCCAAGCGCTTTCGAATGCCGTGATCTCTATATCGAATTTCGATTCGAGTTACGTTCGATATTGAATGCTGCGATTCGAGACCTGTTCTTAACAATGAGGCGGATGTATAGTAATGCAGCGTATAAAGGTTCAGACTTGTCACTAGGCTGCACATAGAATGGAATGCAGCCTGAGCATAACTTACACAGCTAGGCCCAAAATCACCCAGTTGAGAAACATAACATCATGCTGAGCAAGCAGTTTCTGCGGGATGCTGTGATCACCCTTGCAAGCACTTACTTTAAGCCGAGCCTTCTTCCGACCATGATGGATCTCAAAGACTAAGTTTAGCCATACTACGTTTAGGCCAAACGCTGAACCTGATGGACGATATACAGCATTCCTGTGGCATTCATCGAGAGTCAAGCGACCTCTTCGTCAAATCTTGCGGCATGAATGCCGTCCTCCGAAAGCAATCAAAACCTATCGCAGGTATATATGTATTGATCTCGAGACATACCTAACGTTTCCAAATCCCACTTTAACCGATAACGTTAAAACTGTTAGTTTCATAGGCCTATCATTAGATGAGATGGACGAGAACACTTAGTGAATTCAATGATTTGGAAATAGAAAGCCAGCCCAATATTGCGCTGACAAAACGAGATTTCCGCAGGAGCTTTCGATGGATCACCCCCACGAGCTTAAAAATTTTATCAATTGTACCCTGATCACAGGTGCGATGGAGCCACAAGCGGTTCCATTTTTAGGAAATAAAGCTAACCTTTGAGGATGAAATGTACAGATCTAAGTTGTAGAGGCTACTTCTTGTGAAACTAAATCTTTCAAACGTCGCTCAGCAAATAATGGGAACATTCGAAATAAACATGACACTGGCGCGTGCCTAAAATTTCTAGAAATCGTGGTTCAAAAGTAGATATGGAAGAATGTAAAAACCACACAAAAAATTCGAGTGCAATGACCCAATCGAAAGAGACTTAAACGTGTGAGCAGCAGTACTGTACTGCACAAAAACACAGATTTCTTCACGGCAACCAAGGATGCCTCCTGCGAAACAGCAACAAGGATTCCAGCTTACGAAGAAATAAATTAGTGCATATGTATCTAGATATGTATGTATGTAAATAGCCATGCAGCGCGTGTAACTTCAGCAAATTTACGGAGCTAAGCCACCAACTGCCGTCGTAAAGCAAATGCAATTTGAATCGTATCCGAAAAAATGTTTTTTTTCTCAATTCCTTGTTTTTTCGGTAAATAGGGAAGTGCATATGAAGAAAATTGTGTATTTGGTTATACGAAGCCGGGGAAAAAAATAAACGCTGAAGCATAAAATACAAAGCACATACGACATAAGGTTCGTAAGAAATAAGAGTAACAACAACAAAAACAATTTTTTAGGGTCCCACCTGTCAAAAACACTCAACAAGACATACAAACTCACTCAAGTACCAGCCAGCGAACCAAAACACATGACGCGCTTTAAAGTAGAAATACAGTGGTCGAAATAATTATAGCAACACCACATTTTGACAAGTTTTTACATGTTATTATTACTTTTTTGTTATTTAATTTTAATTATTTTTTTTTATAAAAAAAAATATAGTTCATTCTTGAACAAAACCCGTGCAAATCCAAGTTTCAAACTTTCTGCAATATTAAAAAAAACACAGCAAACTTTGGTAAAAATTTCCAACTTTTTAATTCGATTTTCTAGAAAAAAGAATAAAGTACAAGTTTCAAATGGCTAAAAATTACCATTGATTTTTATACCCGAGCGCACTTGTGCACAAGGGTATTATAACTTTGTTCACATAACGGTTGTTTGTAACAGGCAAAACGAATCGAGATAGATATAGACAAATGTATACATAAATGATCAGAATGAAAAGAGAAATCGATTAAGCGGTGACTGTCTGTCCGTCCGTCCGTCCGTCTGTGCACACGATAACTCGAGTAAAAATTGAGATATCTTAACGAAACTTCGTACATGCACTTCTATTGGGCGTGGGGATGGTATTGAAAATGGGCGAAATCGGACAATAACCACGCCTACCTCCCATATAACGTTAATTTTCAGAAATACGAAAACTGCGATATTTTAGTAACTACTGAAGATAATTCACTCAAAATTGACATTTAGAATAACTTTTAGACGAGAAATAAGAATATTCAAAATTTTTGAAAAATGGGCGTAGCCACGCCCACTTATAGTTACATGTGTATATTTTGGAAACCGCTGCACCAATTTCTTCCAAACTTGGCACAGTTGTTGACCCTGGTACAGCATACCAAATGGCCGAAAATTTTTAAAATCGGACAATAACCACGCCCACATCCCATATAACGGTAATTTCGAGAAATACGAAATCCTCGATAAATAAGTAAATATTAAAGCTAATTTATTCTAAATTGACGGTTGCAACAATTCTTTATCAGGAAATACGCTTATGATAAAATTTTGGAAAATGGGCGTGGCACCGCCCACTTATGATCACATTTATGTATATCGGTAACAGTTCTAGCAATTTGTACCAAACTCGGTATGATTATTGTACTTGCCACACAGAAGCAAAACGTTGAAAATTATTGAAATCGGACTAAAATAACGGCCGCTTTTCATATAACGGTAAATTTCAGAAATGCTTGAAACTTCAATATTTCGAAATTTAAGGACGCTAATTTACTCAAAATGGATACACCCCGGTTTACCATGTAGCGGTAGCTTTCGGAAAGGTGGAAAACATATATTTAATACTTGCGCCGGGTATTTAATGTTCGGCTCCGCCCGAACTTAGACTTTCTTACTTGTTTAATTTTTTTTTGTGGAAGATGTAACGGTTTTCTTTCATATAAAAATATATTGTGTGTATTCGTTATATGGAAGCAAATGGGATAAAAAAAAATCTAAAAAATCAACCTATTTTTTAGCCATTTGAAACTTGTACTTTATTCAATGGGCTACAATATGCAGTTTTCTAGGAAATCGGATTAAAAAGCTCGAAATTTTTACCGAAACAAAATAACCAAAAATAACACACAAAAAAATAAAAATATTTTAAAACTTGTTAAAATGTGGTACGGCTATAATTATTTCGATCACTGTATGCAGACCGTAAAGACTGCAGCAAATGGAAGTCCAAGTTGGCGAGCATTGTAGAGGAACTACCGAAATTTGAAATTTTCAAAAAATATGCTGCATTTCGAACTAAATAATTTAAAAAGACAAGCGAATGAGACGGACCGACCAAAACGACGGCGGGCGGCCTGATTGAGGTACGCGACCAGTACGGCCGCCGAACGAAAACAAGCAGAAAATGAAGAAAAGTAATGAAACATTTCTTTTTTCTGCTAACTGGATGGACTCCATTAACAAGGTGGTGGCGTTGCTGATGGTACCCATAATGGTGCACTCACACACTGCATACTTGAAGGTACGAGTATTTTTAGTTAGGCACAACATGGGTACTTATGCGTCTGCGCAACAGCCGAGCGAGCGAACCTAATGAAATGAGTTCAACAGCAGAAGCGGCAGTGGCAGTGGCAGCACCAGCAGGCAGCAGGGAACAGGCAGTCAGTGAGCGTGCAACAAGCACAACACTGCAAACAAAAACAAGAACAACATCACTAATAAAAACCAACATAAGCAAGTGAGTTTGTAGCAAGTAAGCAACAGCAACAGCAGGCAATCGTAACACTGTACAGCACTTGGCCGGGTATTGGACAAAACCAACTGTTTCATAATTTAAAAATTAGTTTCTCCGTTTTTCGAAGTTAGCCGCCGAAACCGAGATATGGGCCTTCGATGATCGAAATTGGACCTTTGGTAAAAAAAAAACTTGTTTTAAATTATTGCATGTAAACAACTAAAAATATAGAATACAGAATATAGGAATTTTTTGTGCAAACTTATATTACAGATGCTATAAAAAATCAAAAAAGTCAAAAACCAGTCAAGAATTTTTTGAAATATAATATTTTTAATATTTCGAACATCTGACCTTTGACCCCTACCATTAAAATAAGAGCAAAAGGCGGGCCACGCCTATATTTTTACTTTTCTAGTTGTTTACTTACAATAATTAAAAATAACTTTTTACCAAAGGTCCAATTTCGAACTTCGAAGGCCCATATCTCGACTTCGGGGGCTAACTTCGAAAAACGGAGAAACTACTTTTTTCCATACATATGAGTCAATCTCTTTAAAAAAATTCATTTGCTCCAATACCCAGAAAAAAAAATTGATTTTGCCGTATAGTCATAGTTGCCAACTTGGTGCTTTAAGCACTAGATTTAGTGTTTTTTGAAAATTAAAACGCCAAAAAAAATTATTTAGTGCCTAGTGCTGTTTTTAGTGCTTTTCTTCTGAACTAAAATTACTTCGAGATAGTTAAAACCTGAAATAATTTCAAATATTTAAGGCTGTGGCAGCACTGAATTTACAAGAATCTACAAATTCAAATGGACTAAAATACAACCATGATTGATAAAAAGCTGAAGATGCAAGCCCACCTTGTTAAATTCTATTCGCGTTGAAAATGCTAGTACGCAAGTAAGCTAAGTATTTCTTTTTTTCTTTTCTAATTATTTGTACAAATTTTGGTTTTTTACCACCTGAGAAAAACACATCGTTTCTTGGTGCTGAATCCAAACCTGGCCTCACAATTGCTCTAGCACTAGAATTTTGAGATATCCCAACCTCAAAGTGCCAAAAACACGGTTTTTTTTAGCGATATTTGAGGTTATATAATGAAAACATCAAATAATAGACTGATTTCTAATGAGAGCATCATTTTAGTTTGATGCGATTCGATTTTTCTTTCTCGAGATATACGAGATATATATTAAAAAAAAATTTGGTGCTTTTAGTGTGGTAAAACGCTTTTTTCCAAGTTTTTGGTGCTTTTTGAAAATCAAAAGATGGCAACACTGCGTATAGTGTAATAACAACCACCACTACCTAAATGCGAGTGCTCGTAAAACATAAACAACAACAACAACAACAACAACAACAACAACAACAACAACAACAAAAAGGAGAGCAATAACATAAGCCAAAACAATAAAAACATTAACGGCAGCAGCAGCAGCAGATGTTTTCCACCAGCCGGTCGTCGGGCGGCTCCACCGGCTCATCACTTCTTCAGCACCACCGTCAACATCATCGTCAAAGCACCAGTAAAGTGAACGCCGTCGTTGTGCTCCAGCAGAAATGCAGTTGGGAATTTATGAACCATAACGTCCATTCAACAGTCCAACACACGCAACGCCACGCCACTGCTGCTGCTGTTGCTGCTCTTCATAGTTACGGCCAAAGCAGCAGAAAATGGTAGCAGCAGTGGCAGTGGCAGCGGCGGTGGCGAGTTGCTGACAATAATGTGGCAGACATTCGAATTGCACGCAAATGACCAGGAGAAGTATTACGAAGAAGTAATGTTAATAGGAATGGTACAAAGAGTGTTGGCAAATATTAAATCCATTATCTTGATTGGATTTTAGGGTTAGTCTGGAATGGTTGGTGCAAGATGTATGCAATTCTCAGTCTTTGACTTAAATTTCGTCTGGTAATAGGAATAAGGCACGATTAAGAAGTAAATGTATAAAACATAAATAAAAAACAAGTAAGAAAGTCTAAGTTCGGGCGGAGCCGAACATTAAATGCCCGGCGCAAGTATTAAATATATGTTTTTTCACCCTTCCGAAACCTTCCGCTAGATGGTAAGCCGAGGTGTATCAATTTTGAGTAAA